CCCAGAGATCAGGGTGATCCCTGATCTCCCTTCCTTCCGCCGCGCCCTCAAGACATGGTTGTTCCAGCTTGCGGGACTGGCCTAAGGGATTTTAAAGGGGTTTTAATTACTTTTAATCAGAATAGTTTAAATATTTCTTTTTAATTAATTTTAATAGGTGTATTGTATGTTTGTATTTTATCTAATTGTTAGCCGCCCTGAGTCCGCAAGGAGAAGGGCGGGATATAAATGTAATTAAATAAATAAATAAATAAATAAAAAAAACTGAAGTTTAATCCCGCCCTCTTTGTTCAGAATTGCCTGTCTCCATTGTGCTTCTGAACCTGCGCAATAAACTTCTCTGCTAATCCCCTCTGGAATTCGTAAGAGTTCTTTCGTTTTCCACAAGAGTATTAACTTTTTTGGCTGCTGCCACACATTGCTGACTCACGTTTAAGTAATTGTCCACTAGGACTCCAAAGTCCCTTTAACAGTTACAGTTTTTGAGCCAGGTTTCGCCCAATCTGTACTTGTACCTTTGGTTTTTCCTGCCCAGGTGTAAATTTGTTTTGTGTAGGAAACGAACGTACAGCCACTCCAGCATCTTACGAAAACCTATAACTGCAACCTATGCTCTGCCACTGGACACCTCCCACACTTACCCATAATACCCCTCTCTCTTCCTCCTCAGAGATTTTCAGCCTCCGCCCTTCCGTTCAGCCCAGCTACCATAGAGATTACTGAGCGAAAGTCCGAGCTGGACGCTCTGGCTGCTTGACTCGGAAAAGCTCTACGGTGTTTGGGCTTTGCAGGAAGAGTCCTGAAGGAAATTGGGATCGCCGACCCTAATCGGTATGGAAAGGAGAAGCGGGAGGAATGAGGTACTAGGTGACTGTTGTTATGTCGAGGGGAAGTTTTAACCTCCCTTCTTTTTCCATCTGAGCTTTTCAAAGCCAGAAAGCAGCTCCAGAAAAGAGCACGTTGGGAAGCCGCGTCCCCTACCCTGTACTTGATTCAAAGCTCGGCATCTCCGCTTCTAAAGGGAGAATTAACCTCCTGGAATAAGAGAAATAGTGGAAAGTTTCCTCTTCCCCCTTTAAGATCACTTTATCATGTCTGCTGTCAGCAGCGAAGCAAAGATGTACAGAATTCCCCGGGCCCCCCACTTCCTTGACTCGTTCAGGAGTCCTGAAAGCAAACTAACTCTTCTCTCTCCTAGACTAGATGATCCTTTCTTGAATACGACTGTATGGTGTATATCTGCCTGATGTACATCCTGGGGGTGTACAATGTAATGCAACCGCTATAGCCATAGAGGATGTGTATTCCTAAGTGACTCTAAAGCTTCCAAAGGATATTTTTTTGAGGTTGTAAAAGAAACTTCATGAGGTGGTGCAAACTCTTGTTGCTAGTTTTGTCTTACACATCTTGGTTTGCCAGATGCAGTTTTTCTTTCCTGAAAATATTTTGGTGACCCACAGCATGACATGCTGCAAATGGTATAGGGATCTAATACCGTTTGGTGTAGGGATGCAGTACCATTTGAGTTACAGTTTTTAGACAGGTTTTATTATGCTAAGCAACTGTTTCCTTAGACGTTTCCCAAAAGTACCCTTCTAGAGAGATTAACTGCTGTGTTCAAGGTGGATTAGTAAAGAAGAATGATTTGTGCCAGAATAGGATGGAAAATCACAGTATTGGAAGAAGAATTAATTGACTGAAGAATGATTGGGAAGTTTTAGGGTGTTGTCAATATTTCTGACATGATTCAGCTAACTACAAAATAATTTATGTTTATTTACCGTGAATTACTCTCATGTTCTTGCAGGCATGTGCCATGCATTTTGGATTGATCGTATTGTTTGTGTGCTAAATTTCTAAATTTATTGATATAAGACACTGAATCTGAGGATCTTTTGCAGTTTCTTAGATAACTGATCTTGTGTTTTTGATAATCTTTTTTTCTTTATCGCTATATTTTTCAGAAGAGCTTTATATTATGACACAATTATTAATTTGATGAGCTTCCTTACCAGTGCAATAGCACTTAGACTTATATACTATTTCACAGTACTTTACAGCCCTCTCTAAGCGATTTACAGAGTCAGCATATTGCCCCCAACAATCTGGGTCTTCATTTCCCAACCTCGGAAGGATGGAAGGCTGAGTCAACTCTGAGCCATTGAGACTTGAACTGCCGAATTGCCAGCAGTCAGCAGAATTACGCTGCAATACTGCATTCTAACCATTGCACCACCATGGCTTTTTAGGCTGGTATTCTCCACATGCATTGGTATTTATGTTGGCATTGGTCAGCATGATTTGGAATGTTGAGAGTTGTGTCCCCAACATATGCTATATGGTTGGAGAAGTATATTTCTCTTAAAAAAAATTGTTTACATGTGGAACCTGATGTACATAATAAAGTGATGCTCTTTCCTTCTTCTGTTCCAGGTAATACTATGAACCGTAATGTTTATTTCTAAACTAAGATTTTTCGAGGGAAAGAATTTATGGACAATTTCAGTTTTTATAAGTAATGTCAATTCAGTTTCTTTCAGATAAATATGTGTACCTAGCATTTAGTACAAGAAGTCTTTGGAATGGACAGAGAACTGGGAAACGACACTATTTTTACAGACCTGAACTTTTTTGGAGGATAAGCTATGCTTCTCCTTTTAGAGTGTTACACACAAGCAGCCAATATTATACATGGACAAGAGGCAAAACAGAGTGGCAGAAATACTTCTACTGCCATTACTGTTTGGGTTCCAGAATTTCTAAATTTAGCACTTCTAAGGAATTGACCAAAAACAATCGCATGTCGCGATTGAAGAACACTTTAGAATCTGTCTCTAAGGCTGTGTGTGGCACTCACAGTGAACTAGTTTCACGGTTAGCTCGTCTAAAACCTCATTCTGCTATACTGAAGAAAGCAGTTGAAGCTGATGGGACGGAGAACAGCTTTTTTATCAGCTCAGAAAAATACAGAGAAGTCTCAAGTGAAATCTATCAGAAGGATTATGATGATAACTTACATGAGAAAAAGACTGTGTCTGCAGATGGAGTCTTAGCGTCAGTCAATACCAGTCAAGGTTCTTTGAAAGATCCCTCAGATATTAAAAATAGTCTTTTTCATGTTAGCAAATTTGCTACAAACTTTGGGGAAACATACAACTTTGTAGCCCATCATATCAACTGGTATTTTAGCACTGCTGGAATGGATCAAGAGAAGAAAGGGAGTGTTCTCCCCCCTAACCCACCCAAACAGAGTGAAGAATCATTTAATTCCTCAGAAGATGACATTTTAAGTGATGAAAACAGGATGAGTGCAGTATCTGCCTTAGTACCTGCCTCGCGGTCACCAAATGCTGGAAAAGTACCTTTTCCTTCAGCTTCCAGTAAAAAGGGTATTTCAAATTTTCTTTCTTATCCTAGTAACAGTGTACAGGCCTTTGTAGATAGTTACATTGGAGGCCTGGTACCTAAGTTACGATCTGATACAAAATCTGCTGTGCAGGAAAAGACTAAAGAACAGGAACAAGAGGACATGTTGAAAGATGACGAGGCTAAATGTGCAGAAGAGAAGGAAAAGAGGCTAAGTCTTCAAAGAGAAAAGGTACATGTCTTGTAGATAAATGTTTATAACACATTAATTGGCAACAATACAAGAAAAAGTTTTATCGACAGCAGTAAATTGAAATCCCCCTCATCACTGTTATTTCAGGGGAAACTCTCAGTGTATAACTGGAGTAGGCAGCCAAGGCTGTCCTCTGCTGTTGTAGATTTCAAGCTCCATCAACCAATAGCATGGTAACATTTAGAGGACATCAGGCTGCTTGTTCTTGATATATTTAGAGCCATACGCTCTCACAGTTATATGTCAATATGCATGGTAAGATATATTTTGGCATGAATGTTTACCGTGGTATCTTAAATGAGGACAAACAATTTAGTTGAAGTGATTTTGTATTAAATAGAATAGATGGGCACCATGTTAGTCTACAGAAGGTGCTATCCATGCATATATAAAAAGTTCATTGTTGCATATCACTGTCTTGGGAACAGAAGATGACCCATTATAAATGGATGTATAAAACCAGTCTTACCTGCTTATTTCAAGGCAGCTTTTAGAAATCACAAATATTTAGCTGTTTTGAGACTTGGGGAATTCTGTGTTACAGAGTTGTTGTAGATTTACTAGAATTATTATGCAATATGAATACAAATTCACATCCATGAATGGACATGCAGACACAAAAATACATGTGTTGAACACTTCCAGTTTTATTGAACAATGTGCTACTGAAGACCTAATTTGTAAAAAAAAAAAAAGCTAAACTTAGTTTCCTTTATGATGCCTATATTCTGGTCAATACTCCCAAATAAGTCACAGCAAAACTGTAAAAAATATTAGTGGACAGAAATGTGTTTATTAGATCATCTTTCCTAAATTGATTTTTGTGGATCTGAAAGAAAAAAAATCTTTGATAAGATTGGGTCTGACAAAACTGATGATTGTGTTACTAATCAGTTGCCAGTTACCAGGAAAAAAAAGTCAAGAGTAGAAAATCCATGGCTATCTCCCTGTTGTGAACTACATTTCGTATCACTTAGTATGATTAGTGATGGGAATGCCAAAAGTTGTATTCAATGGTATCTGAATAATTGGCATAAATCCTGTTGTAAATGATTGACTGTTTAAAGATAGCTGGCTGACCGGCCGTACTCAGCGAGTAGTCCTCAATGGAACCGCTTCTACATGGAGGGAAGTGTGTAGTGGGGTGCCCCAGGGCTCTGTTCTGGGCCCAGTGCTCTTCAACATTTTCAATAATTTGGACAAGGGGATTGATGGGGAACTCATCAAATTTGCAGACGACACCAAGCTGGCAGGAATAGCCAACACTCCAGAAGACAGGCTTAAGATACAGAATGATCTGGACAGACTTGAACACTGGGCACTATCTAACAAAATGAAATTCAATGGTGAAAAAAGCAAGGTTCTACATTTAGGCAAGAAAAACCAAATGCACAGGTATAGTATAGGGGGTACCTTGCTCAATAGTAGTAACTGTGAGAGGGACCTCGGAGTCCTAGTAGACAATCGCCTAAATATGAGCCAGCAGTGTGCTGCAGCTGCCAAAAAGGCCAACACAGTGTTAGGCTGCATTAACAGAGGGATAGAATCAAGATCACGTGAAGTGTTAATANCACTTTACAATGCCTTGGTAAGGCCACACTTGGAATACTGCATCCAGTTTTGGTCACCGCGATGTAAAAAAGATGTTGAGACTCTAGAAAGAGTACAGAGAAGAGCAACAAAGATGATTAGGGGACTGGAGGCTAAAGCATATAAGGAACGGCTGCTGGAATTGGGTATGTCTAGTTTAATGAAAGAAGAACGAGGGGGGGGACATGATAGCAGTGTTCCAATATCTCAGGGGCTGCCACAAAGAACAGGGAGTCAAGCTATTTTCCAAAGTGCCCGAAGGCAGGACAAGAAGCAATGGGTGGAAACTAATCAAGGAGAAAAGCAACCTAGAACTAAGGAGAAACTTCCTGACAGTGAGAACAATTAACCAGTGGAACAACCTGCCTCCAGAAACGGTGAATGCTCCAACACTGGAAGTTTTTAAGAAAAGACTGGACAGCCATTTGTCCGAAATGGTATAGAGTTTCCTGCCTGACCAGGGGGTTGGACTAGATGACCTCCAAGATCCCTTCCAACTTTACTACTACTACTACTACTACTACTACTACTACTACTACTACTACTACTACTATTATTATTATATATTTATTTCAATTCATAGAGCTGCCACTCTCATGAAAATGGTAGCTAACAATTAAAACTAGCAAGAACATAAAATAAATATGTAACTAACAGCTGAGATAAACCAACAGACAACAATAAACACATTCCTTTCACAGACAAACATCTTTTCTTGAAAGATAAAGTTACAAAAATAATTTGGTTTAAAATATGTTTTTGATGTATTTCAGTAACAACATTAATATATTTATTTTTAAGTAGTGAAACCAGTCTAAAAGGTGAAAGCAGGAAGGCTTTATTCACATATTTAATAGAGAGCAAACCATATTAAGTTCAATAGAACCTACATTTCTGAATCCATAATCCATTTATTACTATGAAAGATTTACAAATTAGAATTTCTATCAAAGTGCACAAAATTACTGTTTCACTGATAAAATATTTAAATATATGCTACATATTTAGAGAAGAATAAATTATGTGCACATACTTTTTTCAAATGGATCAATGTACTTAATTATTTTTCAAACATTTCCCTGATATTTATAGGGTTTTTTGTTTTGTTTTCAGATTATTGCAAAGGTTAGTGTAGATAATAGAACTCGGGCTTTAACTCAAGCATTGCGAAGATCGTCTACTAGAAGAGTCTGTATCAACAGAGTTGAAGAACTGACATACCATCTGTTGGAATTTCCAGATAGTAGAGGAGTCGCCATTAAGGTAATATCTGACTTTAAGGGGACATGATGGCCCAGCAGTTAAAGATACTGGGCTTGTTGGCTGGAAAGTTGACACCCTGAGTTCACGACCCGAGCACCATGCAGTGGGGAGAGTTCCTGTTACTTGCCCCAGCTCTAACTAGCAGTTCAAAAGCATGGAAATGCACCCTCCCACTTTGGTGGGAGGGTGACAGCGTTCAATGTTCCTTGGCATACAGTAATGCTAGCCGCATGATCACAGAATTGTCTTTAGATAATGCTGGTTCCCACAGTTAAGAAATGGAAATGAGAACTACCCCTTAGAGTCAGACACAACTGGACAGGGGAACCCTTTACCCTTTTCTGACTTTAAATAGGGAATGGCTCCTAGTTGTGTGAGAGAGGGAAAAGAGTATTTGTTCTGGAAGTAAAAGTGAATGGGACATTTTATCCTGTAGTTTTTAAATATAATTCTACATTTGCATACCACTTTATACCTGAACCAATAAGAATCAAGGATTTTAATATTTTGTATAATGATGGGCAACCTGTGAACCTTCAGTTGATTTATTTGGCCTGCTAGTAGTCAATCTCTTCATTACTTGGCAATTTAAAAGGTGAGGAGAAAGAGAAAAGAATCAGAAATAATAATGTGGATCCAACCACTTTTCACTCTAATAGCCCACCCTTTGCCAATTGTCAGTACTCCAGATAAATTGACTCTTAAGAAATAAAGTCGTTGACAGATTTCTGACCTCATATCAAAATTGTACCAATCACTATTTCTGGCGTTTATAATTTTTTAAGAATATAGGACTGTAGTATAAAGTGTTCTGAAGATAATTGAATTAATTTCTTTGTGATAGTAGAAATAGACTAAGTATATATGTAGTTATAGCTGCTGTATTCTTTGTAATTTAGTTGTCGTCTTATACTGATCTATGATTTAAAATGTTAGCCATAATTACAGTTTTGGCAGCTAAAAGACTCCAGCAATTTGTTAATAGTATATTTGTTCAGAAATAATCTTGGTTGATTTCACCAGTGTTTATTTTCTCACAAATTGCTCAAGAGTTGAGGGCAAGTGTTAAATGTCCAAGGTTATCCTTACTTTCATTTTAATATTAGGGAACTTGTACATACAATAGTTTCAAGTGTATGGTATGACAGGATTATCAGCAAAAAGCTTTATTTTTATTATAGGAAAATGTCATTCCATGCTTGCTGAAACTTAGGCAGACAAAAGATGAAGCACTACAGGCTGCTGTGAGAGAAGCCTTGGCTGTGATTGGCTATACAGACCCAGTAAAAGGGTGGGGCATTCGAATTCTTTCCATTGATGGTGGAGGAACAAGGTATTTATTTAATTTAGATGCTGTCATATAAGCATTTTTCTCTTAACTCACCAGCAAAACAAATTCCTACAGAAATCTTATGGCTTGAAAGGGCTCATGAGTGAAATTGAGGTTTTGGTGATTTATTTTTACATTTTTATATTGTTATCTTGTCCCTGAAACAATATTTTTTATCACGCCTGATAGATGTGGGATAACATTTGGTCAATTTGAGTAAAAAAAAAAAAAGACCTTGGTTTGCATGTTCAGTCTGCAGGTTATATGAAAACAGGGCAGAAGAAAATTCAGATGTCATTCATGTGATGCTAAATGATAGATTGCTGGCATTCCTGTTAATATCTGAGAATAGCATTCAGACTTCTCTCAATTTGATTTGCACAAATCTTGGTGGCACATTAAATCGAAAAGTTAATAATTAATGTGAGATCTCTTCAAAGATTTGAATTTATATCTCCCAGTCCTAATGTAATAAGTAAACAACACTGATAGTTATCTGAATTAAACTAAACTAGGTTTTTTTATTTGTATTTATGCCATTATTTTCTGTTGTTGAGTTCAAATTGGCTAAAAATGATTAAATGAAAGTTTAAAAATATTAATTAAAATTGATATTAAATTAAACCAAATGTTTTTATTTATGTATTTATTTCTTAAATTTATATGCTGCCCATCTTCCTTTCCAAAGTGACTCTGGGACCTTATAATACCATAAAATCATAAATATAGAAACATTAAAATAACAGGACTCAGATAAAAAAATACTAAGTTTGATAAATAAAATAGTTTAAAAACTAATAAGTTTGCATTAATGAGAACTCTTTCACAATTATGATAACCAGCAAATTGTTTTCATAAAATCCCAAATCATTGAGAGTTGGGCAGTACACAAATATATTCATATTATTAATTTTATTAATAATTATGATGAGATTTTGAAATATTAACTAGAGAGAATATTACGCTCTTGATCAACATTAGCTTTTTTCCCCCAAGTGACTTACATTTTCAAGTGAAATTCCAAATTGAAAATATAAGCACATACTGTATTCTGTGCAACACTTGATGTCCACATTTGTTAATTTAAAGAGCTGTTCCAAATTTTCTGTCAGAACAATAAGTCAAGCTTATACATTATAAGAGTTACTTGATTCCTCAATTCAAAATCTAGTATTTTCAGCAACAAATGTGTAAAATACTTGGGTTTGCTTTTGGAGCACTCCAGCTAGAATTTTGAGAGTTGTAGTACATATAGATAGTGGTTATTTAGTGACTGACTCATTTAGCAATTGTTCACAGTTATGACGGTAATGGTAAAAAGTAACATTACACCCAATCCTTGCATTTATATATTTGCAGGTCTATAAAGCATAGAAAAACTAAAGTAAAGGTAGTTCTCAACTTAGGACCATATTTGGGACTGGAATTTCTGTTGTAAGTTTTTGTGGTCATAAGTCATATTGCCACATGACTAGACCTGATCTAACAACCATTTCTGTAGCTGTCTTAAAACAAGTCACTTTGGTCCTTAAACAAATCATGTGATTGTTAAGTGCATCATGATCATTAAGCGAATTCATTCTCCCTAATGGTTTTTTTTTTTTTTGCCAAAAACTGGCAAAGAATTCAAAATTGCAATCACATGACTGCAGCATGTGGGAACTGGTCATAAATGTGAGCCAGTTACCAAGAGCACGAATTGCAATTATGTGATTACAGCAGGTGGTACAACATTTTGGGAGTCAGAATAGTTTTACCGGCCGTAAAACACCTTTTCTGAACTGTCATAACTTCAGATAGTTGTTAAACTATCTGTAAGTCAAGGAGTATCTGTAGGGTCATAAGCACAGTTGCAATTTCATTTAGCAACTTTTTACTTAATTACTGTACTGCTGATCTCAATTGTGATGGCTAAATGAAGACTACCTGTATTAATGTATAAAATATGTAATGTGTGTCCCTAATTAAATATATATTACATTATGTATTTAGGTTATAATAATTGTTCTTAAGGAATGAATTAAACTTTCTTTGATGGAATCATATTATTGTATGGATAAAGAGCCAGTTCAAAAACTGAGAATGCATGCAGTTCTTCAAATTAATATTTAACATCTATCAGACAGAACTACATTACAGGTAGTCCTCACTTATCAGCTGCAAAATTCAGTGACTGTTTGAAGTTACAATGGTACTAAAAAGTTTGCAATCAATCCTAGTGGCTGTCACATTTCCCCCCTCAGTCATGTAATCACAATTCAGGTGCTTTGCAACCAGCGTGCATTTATGATGGTTGCAGTGTCCTGTAGTCATATAGTCGCCATTTGTGATCTTCACAGCTGACTTCCGACAAGCAAAGTCAATGGGGAACCTGGCAGGAATTTGCAAGTTGTGGCCACATGATATTATGCTTAATGGCCTCTGGTGATTTATTAAATTGGGTCCCCAACCCCTGGGCTGTGGCCCACTACCAGGCCATAAGCCTTTCTGAACCAGGTGCAAAAGTGGTGGACACTCACTCGCATTCTCGCAAGAGCAAGCAATGGGCGAGTGCATGCACGCTCAGTCCATTTGCATGAGCAGTGGGTGAACATGCCTACCACTTGCAGAAATGGAGCTGCATGCATAGTTCCCCTGAACCATGTGCAGAATCATCCCCTCTTCCTCCTTCCTGCTGGGCTGCAAAGCTGAAAAGATTGGGGAACTATGCTAAATAACTGCAGCAGAAATGACATAGGTCATTGTCACCATGATGTTTCACTTAACGGCCACATCACTTAGATATAGGGTTGCTAGTCCCAATTGTGGTCAGTAAGTGACTACTTGTATTAATATCTTTATTGCAACAATCCAGACAACCTAAATACAAAATTCTTCATAAATATAAACATTTCAAAAGTTTAGAAATAGTTCATTGACATATTTGAGTTTTAAATTCTTTAGTAAAAATGCAACCTTACAATAAAAGTACTAGTAATTATATAGGTTTCCTGATCTGGAGTACTTTGAAGGATTGACACTGTTTTCCCTCTGTTGGCTGAATGTCTTAATAATAATTAAGCATAATAATTATGCAATAATAATAAGGGCTATATGTAATTATAATACTAATTTTCTAAAAGAAAGCTTTATTTGCAACAATTCTTTTAATACCATCAGACAACATCTGCCTATCCTAGGCAAAATCCAGCCTAAACAATTGGTTGGCTGTGTGATCAACCATAATAACTACAGCAATAAAAGGGGCAGCAATAATACATAATATTATTAATTATTAAGCATAATGATTATGAAATAATGACTATATGTAATGTGTAATTATATAGTATTAAAATATTATAATATTATAATATATAATAATATTAGCAGGTGCTGAGAGCACAGGGAACCTGTATTCTTTTTTGAGAGTCACCAGCTCAAACTCATCCCAATTCACATCCCCAGATCAACCCACAGCAGTTCAACCTGCCCTGATCAGTCAGAGTCGAGTTGGAGTGAATCTGAGCCACCTTATCCTTCAGATATTTATTTGTTAGATTTTTAATCCCGCCTTTATTATTATTTAAATAAAATATGGTATAATAATAT